GTCTAGTTCTTTAAGATGCATCATTAGCTTGTTTATTTGAAGCTTTTCTTCTTTTTTGGTGCAGGCATTTATAGCTATAAACTTCCCCTTGAATATAGCTACTGCTGTATCACATCAGTTTTGATATGTTGTGCTTCCATTATCATTTGTTTCAATAAATTTTTTAATTTCCTTCTTAATTTTTTCATTAACTCGCTGGTTATTTAGCAGCATATTGTTTAATTTCCATGTATTTGTATAGTTTCCAAAATTCCTCTTGTATTAATTTTTTGTTTTATTCCATTGTGGTCAAAGAAGATGCTTGATATTATTTCTATATTTTGAATGTTTTAAGATTTGTTTTGTAACCTAACATATGCTCTATCCTTGAGAATGATCCAGGTGCTGATGAAAATAATGTGTATTTGCAGCTCTTGGATGAAATGTTCTGTAAATATCTATCAGGTCGTTTTGGTCTGTAGTGCAGGTTAAGTTTGATGTTTCTTTGTTGATTTTCTGTCTGGACGACCTATCTAATGATTAAAATGGGGTGTTGAAGTCTCCAGCTATTATTGTATTGGGGCCTATCTCTCTCTTTAACTCTAATAATATTTTATTTATACATCTGGGTGCTCCAGTATTGGGTGCATATATATTTAAAATTGTTACATCCTCTTGCTGAATCATCCCCTTTATCATTATATAGTGACCTTCTTTGTTTCTTCTTATAGTTTTTGTCTTGAAATCTATTTCGTCTAATGTAAGTGTAGTGACTCCTGCTCTTTTTCAGTTTTCCGTTGGCATGGAATATTTTCTCCATCCCTTTATTTTCAGTCTATGTGTGTCTTTATAGGTGAAGTGTGTGTGGTTCTTTTTTTGTTTTTGTTTTTGTTTTTTGTAGGCAACAGGTCAGTGGATCTTGTTTTTTTCATCCATTCTGCCAATCTATGTCTTTTCACTGGAGAGTTTCATCCATTTACATTCAGTGTTATTATTGCTAAGTAAGGACTTTACTCCTGCCATTTTGTTATTTGTTTTCTGGTTGCGTTGTGGTCTTCTCTTCTTTGTTTATTTCCTTCCTGTCTTAAGGGTGATTTCCTCTGATGATATGATATAGTTTCTTGCCTTTTATTTTTTGTGTATCCATTGTATGTTTTTTGGTTTGAGGTTACCATGAGGTGTGCAAATACTATCTTATAACCCATTATTTTAACCTGATAACAACTTAAAACTATTTGCATAAACAAAAAGAAAACTAAAAAATACCTTATGCTTTAACTTCGTTTCTCCACTTTTTAACATTTTGTTGTTTCTATTTATATCTTATTGTATTAACTATGTCTTAAAAAGTTGTTGAAGTTATTATTTTTGATTGGTTCATCATTTAGTCTCTCTACTTAGGATAAGGGTAGTTTACACACCACAGTTACAATGTTATAATATTCTATGTTTTTCTGTGTACTTACTGTTACCAGTAAGTATTATACCTCAGGTGATTATTTATTTCTCATTAATGGCCTTTTTAGGTGATTATTTATTGCTCATTAACGGCGTTTTCTTTCTGATTGAAGTACTCCATTTATCGTTTCTTGCAAGACAGGTCTGGTGTTGCTAAAATCCCTCAGCTTTTGTTTGTCTGGGAAAATCTTTATTTCTCCTTCACGTTTGAAGGATACTTTTACTGGATGGGGTGAAAGTTTTTTTCCTTCAGCACTTTAAATAGGTCATGCCCCTCTTTCCTGGCCTGTAAGGTTTCCACTGAAAAGTCTGCTGCCAAACATAATGAAGCTCCATTGTATGTTATTTGTTTCTTTTCTCTTGCTGCTTTTAGGATTCTTTCTTTATCCTTGACCTTTGGGAGTTTGATCATTAAATGCCTTCAGGTAGTTGCTTTGGGTTAAATCTGCCTGGTGTTCTATAATCTTTTGTACTTGGATATTGATATCTTTCTCTAGGTTTGGGAAGTTACTGCTTGGAATGAACTTTCTACCCCTATCTCTTTCTCTACCTCCTCTTTAAGGCCAATAACACTTAGATTCGCCCTTTTGAGGCTATTTTCTACATTCTGTAGGCATGCTTCATTGTTCTTTATTCTTTTTTCTTTTGTCTCCTCTGACGATGTATTTTCATGGGTGTTTTTTTTTTCACTTTTATTTTAGATTTCGGGTACATGTGAAGGTTTGTTACATAGGTGAACTCGTATCATGGGGGCTTGTTTTACAGATTATTTCATCACCCAGGTATTAAGCCCATTGCCCAATAATAATATTTTCTGCTTCTCTCCTGCCTCTCGCCCCCTACTCTCAAGTAGACCCCAGAGTCTGTTGTTCCCTTCTTTGTGTTCATGAGTTCTCATCATTTAGCTCCCACTTAAAAGGGAGAACATGCAGTATTGGATTTTCTGTTCCTGTGTTAGTTTGCTAAAACGAATAGCCTCCGAATCCATCCATGTTCCCACAGAAGACATGATCTCATTCTTTTCTATGGCTGCCTAGTATTCCATGGTGTTTCTTTATCCAGTCAGTCACATTTTCTTTATCCAGTCTGTCACTGATGGACATTTAGGTTGATTCCATATCTTTGCTACTGTCAATAGTGCTGCAATGAACATTCATGTGCATGTGTCTTTAGAATGATTTATATTCTTCTGGTATATACCCATTAATGGAATTGCTGAATTGGATGGTAGTTCTGCTTTTAGCTCTTTGAAAAATAACCATACTGCTTTCTGCAATGGTTGAACTAATTTACACTCCCACCAACAGTGTATAAGTGTTCCCTTTTCTCTGCAATCTCACCAGCATCTGTTATTTCTTGACTTTTTAATAATAGCCATTCTGATTGGTGTGAGATAGTATCCCAATGTGGTTTTGGTTTTTTGTTTGTTTGTTTCTTTTGAGATGGAGTCTGACTCTGTTGCCCAGGCTGGAGTGCAATGGCATGATCTCAGTTCACTGCAACCTCCGCCTCCCCAGTTCAAGCAATTCTCCTACCTCAGCCTCCCAAGTAGCTGGAACTATAGGCATGTGTCACCATGCCCAGCTAATTTTTGTATTTTTAGTAGAGATGGGGTTTTACCATGTCGGCCAGGCTGGTCTCGAACTCCTGACCTCAAATGATCCACCTGCCTCAGCCTCCCAAAGTGCTGGGATTACAGGGATGAGCGACCATGCCCTGCCCCATTGTGGTTTTGATTTGCATTTTTCTAATTATCAGTGATATTGAACTTTTTTTCAGTTTTTGGCTACAGGTATGTCTTTTTGAAAAGTGTCTGTTCATGTCCTTTGCCCACTTTTTAATGGTGTTGTTTGTTTTTCTCTTATAAATTTATTTAAGTTGCTTATAGATGCTGGATATTAGGCTGGGTGTAGTGGCTCACACCTGTAATCCCAGCACGTTGGGAGGCTGAGGTGGGCAGATCACTTGAGGACAGGAGTTGGAGACCAGTCTGGCCAACATAGTGAAACCCTGCCTGTACTAAAAATACAAAAGTTAGCTGGGCATGGTGGTGGGCACCTGTAATCCCAGCTACTTTGGAAGCTGAGGCAGATTAATCAGTTGAACATGGGAGGCGGAGGTTGCAGTGAGCCAAAATCATGCCACTTTGGAAAAAAAAAAAAAAAAAGCTGGATATTAACCCTTTGTCAAATGCATAATTTGCAAATATTTTCTCCCATTCTGTAGGTTATCTGTTTACTATGTTAATAGTTTCTTTTGCTGTGCAGGAGCTCTTAAGTTTAATTAGATCCCATTTGTCCATTTTTGCTTTCATTGCAATTGCTTTTGGTGTCTTTGTCATTAAATTTTTGCCCATTCCTATGTCCAAGATGGTATTGCCTAGGTTGTCTTCCAGGGTTTTTATACCTTGGGGTTCTACATTTAAGTCTTTAATCCACCTTCAGCTGATTTTTTGTATATGGTGTAAGGAAGGAGTCTAGCTTTGATTTTCTGCATATGGCTAGCCAGTTATCCCAGCACCATTTATTGAATAGAGAGTCTTTTCCCCATGGCTTATTTTTGTCACTTTGTTGAAGATCAGAGGGGCATAGGTTTGTGGCCGTATTTCTGGGCTTTCTATTCTGTTCCATTGGTCTATGTGCCTGTTTTTGTAGCAGTACCATGCTTTTTTGGTTACTGCAGCCCTGTAGTATAGTTTGAAGTCAGGTAACATAATGCTTCCAGTTTTGTTCTTTTTGCTTAGGATTGCCTTGGCTGTTCAGGCTCTTTTTTTGATTTCCTGTTAAAAAAAAAATTTTTTTTTTGTTTTGAAACAGAGTTTCACTCTTGTTGCCCAGGCTGGAGTGCAATGGTGCAATCTCGGCTCATTGCAACCTCTGCCTCCCGGGTTCAAGCGATTCTCCCATCTCAGCCTCCTAAGTAGCTGGGATTATAGGCATGTGCCACCACACCCGGCTAATTTTGTATATTTAGTAGAGACGGGGTTTCTTCATGTTGGTCAGGCTGGTCTCAAACTCCCAACCTCAGGTGATCTGCCTGCCTCAGCCTCCCAAAGTGCAGGGATTACAGGTGTAAGCCACCATGCCCAGCCATTCCCTGTAAATTTTAAAATAGTTTTTTTCTAGTTCTATGAAGAATGTCATTGGTAGTTTGATATGAATAGTATTGAATCTGTAGATTACTTTGGGCAGTATGACCATTTAATGATATTGGTTTTTCCTATCCATGAGCATGGGATGTTTCTGGGTCTTCACTGTTTTGATGCCAGCACTCCCTTGGCTGCTCCAGCTGGTGTCTCAATATGTCACATGCCCCCCAAGTCCACTGTCTCTTGGCCTAGTTCAGCACTAGGACTCGCCTGAGTTGCAGTCCTTATGGCCTAGAATGCCTTTCAAATTTGCTTGGGGACACAGAGCACTGTAGTCCTTGGTGGCGAGATTTGCAGACACTCAAGTTCAGACACTGGGATCCAGGAGTCCCCTCTGGCTAGGGTGGGTTTAAATGTTTCCTCCATGAGCAGGTGCCGGCTGAGTTTGGTCCGGTTTTCCTTTCTACTCTAACAGGACAGCACTGAGTTTGATGCCTCACAATTGCTGTGTTCCCCCTCCACCAGTGCCCAGGATGCTCTCCAACAAGGCTGTCTCTGCCGGGCATGGGGGAAGAGTGGTGTCAGTGATCCAGGACTGTTTTTTCTATCTTCAGTGCCTCTGTCAGCAATATGAAGTTAAAACCAGGTAATATGAGTGCTCACCTGATTTTTGGTTCTTATGAAAGTATTTTTTCTGTGTTGATAGTTGTTAACTTGGTATCCTTGTTGGGGGGATGATCAGTGGAACCTTCTATTTCGCCATCTTGCTCCATCCTCTATCCTATTTTTTGATATTCTTAATTGATCTAATAGATAGCTACTGGTTCCAAAATAACAACACCAACAATGTATTGAGTGATTATAGCTTATGAATAAGTGAAATGAATGACAGCAATATTATAAGAGATAGGAAGGCAGAATTGGGAAAATTCTAGTATAAGGTACCTATTCGACCTGTGAAGCAGTACAATGTTATTTGAAAGTTGACTTAGATTAATTGTAGATGTATATTGCAAACTCTAGGGCAACCACTAAAAAAAAAATTTTAGGAAATGTAATTGATGTGCTAGAAGGAAAGAGAAAATGGAATCACATCAAATACCCAATTAAACAGAAAAGACAGAAAAGGAGGAGAAGACAAAAGGGAAACAAAAAAGCAAATGCAATGAATAGAAAACTGTTAAAAAATATGGTAGATATTATTCCAACTGTACCAATAATTGCTTTACATGTGAATGGTCTGAACACATCAATTAAAAGACATACTGACAGAGTGATTAAAACTGTTTCTTGTCTACATGAAGCACACTTTAAATACAAAGATGCAGACAGATTTAAAGGAATGGAGAAAGACACACTGTGGTACTATTAATGAAAAGAAAGTTGGCATAGCTATATTAATTTCAAACAAAGCAGATTTTGGCACAAGGGAAATAACAGGGAAGAGGGGCATTACATAATGATAAAGGTGTCAATTCTCTAAGAAGACCTAACAACTTTAATGTGAATATATCTAGCAAAACAGCATCAAAATACATGAGGCAAAAACTAAAACAATTGCAAGGAGAAATAGATGAACCCACTATTATAGTTGGAGACTTGAACACTATTCTGTCAGTAATTGACATATCAGGTAGACAGAAAATCAGTAAAGATATTGTTGAATAGAACACCACCATCAATTAACTGCACTTAATTTATATTTATTAAAAACTACACCTAACAACAGCATAACAGATATTGTTTTCAGGCTCATATGGAGCAGTCACCAAGATAGACCACATTCAGGGCCGTGAAACACACACTACCAAATTTTAAAGAATATAAGTCTTCTAAAATATGCCCTCAAGCCACAGTGGAATTAAACTAGAAATCAATAAAAGAAAGACAGGTGGAAATCCCAAGATATTTCTAGATTAAACAAAACATTTTAAAATAACATGTGGGTCAAAGAATAAATCTCAAAAAAATTAAAAATATTATGAATTAAATGAAAGTACAACTTATCAAAATTTGTGGGATGCAGCAAAAGCAATGCTCAGAGGAAAATTTATAACATTGAATTTATACTTCAAAAAGAAGAAAGGGGCCAGGACTTTGGGAGGCCGAGGCGGGTGGATCACAAAGTCAGAAGATCAAGACCATCCTGGCTAACATGGTGAAACCCCGTCTCTACTAAAAAATACAAAAAATTAGCCGGGCATGGTGGCAGGCGCCTGTAGTCCCAGCTACTCGGGAGGCTGAGACAGGAGAGTGGTGTGAACCTGGAAGGTGGAGCTTGCAGTGAGCCGAGATCATGCCACTGCACTCCAGCCTGGGCAACAGAGCGAGACTCCATCTCAAAAAATAAATAAATAAATAAAAATAAAAAATAAAAAAGAAGAAAGGTCTAAAATCAATAATCCAAGTTCCCATTTTAAGGCAGTAGGAAAAAAAGGGCAATATAAACCTAAAGCAGACAGAAGACAAAAATAATAACAATTAGGGCAGAAATCAATGAAATTAAAGACATGAAAACAATAGAGCAAATTTTTAAAAAGCTGATTCTTTGAAAAGATCAGTATTTGCCTTTGGAATGTTTCTTTGTAAGCTCTTCTTTTTGTCAAAGGATAGTTTACATATGATAAATGTACCATTGTTAGTGTACAGTTATATCAGCACTTCCAATAGAATTTTGTGATGGTAGAAATATTCTATGCAAAGTATAATCAGTAACACTAGCCACATGTGGCTAGTGAACACTGAAAATGTAGTTAGTGTAGCCTAGGAAATGTATTTTTTACTTGTACATTTTTTATTGAGATAAAATTCATATAATATTGGCTAGGCATGGTGGCTTACACCTGTATTCCCAGCACTTTGGGAGGCTGAGGTGGGCGGATCACTTGAGCTCAGGAGTTTGAGACCAGCCTGGGCAACATGGTGAAACCCCATCTCTACCAAAAATACTGAAAAAAATTAGTTAGACATGGTAGCACGTGCCTGTAGTCCCAGCCATTAGGGAGGCTGAGGTGGGAGAATCGCTTGAGCCTAGGAGGCAGAGGTTGCAGTAAGCCAAGATCATGCCACTGCACTCCAGCCTAGGTCAGAGACCACACCCCCCACCAAAAAAAATTCATATAACATAAAATGTATCATTTCAATCATTTTAAAGTGTGCAATTGAATGGCATTTTTTGCATTCCCAATGCTGGGTAACCATCACCTCTGTCTTAGTCTGTTTCCTGTTGCTTATAACAGAATACCTGAAACTGAGTAATTTCTAAAGAAAAAGAATATATTTCTCACAGTTATGAAAGATGAGAAGTCCATGGTGAAGGGTGTGCATCTGGTGAGAGTCTTAGTTACAAGGCGGTGCAGGGTATCACATTGCAAGGTGGCTGCGCATGCTAACATACTAGCTCAGGTCTCTCTTTCTCTTCCTATAAAGCCACTAGTTCCTCTCCCATGATAACCTATTAATTCATTAAAGCATACATGGATTAACCCATGTATGGGCAGAGCTGTCATGATCCGATCACCCCTTAAAGGCCTCACCTGTCAATACTGCCAAATTGGGAATTAAATTCCAACATGAGTTTTGGAGAGGACAAATATCCAAACCATGGTAATCTCTATCTTGTTCCAAAACATTTTCATCACCCTAAAGGGAAACCCTGCACTCAAAAAGCACTCTCCATTCCTTCCTTCCCCTAGTCCCTGTACCACTAATCTGCTTCCTGTCTCTTTTGATTTGCCTATTTTGGAAATTTTATATAAATGGAATCATACAAGATGTGACCTTTTGTGACTGACATCTTCCACTTAGCATAATGTTTTTAAGGTTCATCCATGTTGTCACACGTCAGTACTCTGCTCTTTTTTGTGGTCGAACAGTATTCTATTATATGGATATATCTCATTTTGTTTATCCATTCATCAGTTGAACATTTGGGTCATTTCCACCTTTTTGGCTGTTGTAAATAGTGGTGCTATGAACATATGTGTACAACTTTTATTTGAATGCTTGTTTTCAATTCTTTTGGATACACTATATGTATAGGAGTGAAATTCCTGGGTCAATATGGTAATTTTGTGTTTAAATTTTTGAAGAACAGCCAAACTGTTCTCCACAGTGATTGTACCAGTTTATGTTCCCAGCAATGTACAAGAATTCTAAGTTCTCCACATCCTCACTAACACTTGTCATTTTCCTTTAAAAAAAAATTATAGTCTTCCTAGAGGGTGTGAAGTAGTATCTCATTGCGGTTCTGATTTTCATTTCCCTGATGACTAATCATGAGCAACTTTCATGTGCTTTTTGGCCATTTTTAATGTCTTTGGAGAAATGTCTGTTTGGCTTTTTGCCCATTTTGGAATTGGGTTGTCTTTTTGTCGTTGAATTTTAAGTGTTTGTTATATCTCCTAATTACTACACCTTATCAGATATATGATTTGCAAATATTTTCTCCCGTTGTTTGTTGTCTTTTCACTCTTGATGGTGTCCTTTGATGCACAAAAGTTTTACATTTATGATGCCCAATTTATCTATTTTTTCTTTTGTCACTTGTGCTTTGGAATTATATCTAAAACTCCACTGCCAAATAAAGAGTCATGAAGATGTACACCTATGTTTTCTTCTAAGGGCTTTATGGTTTTCACTTTACATTTAGGTCTTTTATCCATTTTTGAGTTCCTTTCTGTATATAGTATTAAGTAAGGGTTCAACTTCATTTGTTCACAGGTGGCTATTCACAAATGATGATGTCCCAGCATCATTTGTTGAAGAAACTATTCTTTCTTCATTGAATGGCCCTGGCATTTTCGTTGAAAATCAGTTGACCATAGGTTTTTCAGTTTATTTCTGAACACTCAATTCTCTTTCACTGGTCTATGTGTATATTCTTATGCCAAGTACCACACTGTTTTGATTACTGTAGTTTTGTAGTAATATAATTTTAATAAATTTATTTGTTTTTGGTTTTTTGTAGATTTTGTTTGTTTGTTTGTTTTTTTGTTTTTAGATGGGGTCTTGCTCTTGTCTCCCAGGCTGGAGTGCAATGGCATGATCTTGGCTCACTGCAACCTCCACCTGCCGGGTTCAAGTGATTCTCCTGCATCAGCCTCCCGGGTGGCTGGGATTACAGGTGCCCACCACCACACCTGGCTAATTTTTGTATTTTTAGTAGACACAGGGTTTCGCCATGTTGGGCAGGCTTGGTCTCTAACTCCTGGCCTCGTGATCTACCTGCCTCAGCCTCCCAAAGTGCTGGGATTACAGGCATGAGCCACTGCACCCAGCCAATTTTAATAAATTTAAATAACCACGTGTGGCTAGTGGCTACCACTACTAGACAACACAGAATTACATGATTTTTAGTTAATTTAGACAGTTGTAAAACTATCATCACAATTCAGGTTTAGAATATTTTCGTTATGAAGTCCTTTTAGCTTTTAATTTCTGTTAATACTTAGTTCCAGTCTCATAATTCTTAGTATTGTTCCAGTTAGGGTTTGACCATTATCCAGTCTACGTGTACCTATAACTTTAAAATTTTTATCAGAATTCATTACATTTTGGATTAAATTTGCTTGTTCTTTTTCCTTTGGACTATTAACTGAAATCAGGTCAAAGAGAAAATGAGAATTTTGCTTGAGAATGGGGTTC